ACAGCAAGAAGGTTCTGGGTGCAAATCCATTCATTCATTCATTTTCTGCCCCTTTAATAGTAAATTTTCTGGGTCAGGGGGGTGACAATCAGAGCTGCCACCCATTGCTCATAGCACCAGTCCCTCTCTGATCCTCTGCAGGTGGTGAGTCCACAGGAAGATTGCTGCTACATCAGTGGTGCCACAGCCTTGGTGTTTCAGCGGGAGCTTCAGGCAAAGTGGGGTTAAGTGTCTTGCCCAAGGACACAACGACAGCAGACATTAGTGGGAGCAGTTGGAGCAGGTCCCAAGGTGGACTCGAAGCACGACCTTCCAGCCCAAAGGCCAATGCTCCACCAACTGAGCTATTGTCGCAGAAAAAAGACAATAAATTATGAGGTAATAGTTGCTTGAATATGTTTTTTCTACTCTTAATTTCAGTACATTGTGGCTGCCTTAAAACAAAATTTGCATATGGGACAAAACCATGTTGTCGTATCTCAAGAATTGTTGCTTTATTTTTTCATTCAAAGGATGATATTTCTTGTATCTTCTTAAAACAAAATGTTTGCTTGCCCCATTGACAGATCTGGTTTTAAGGCAGTCCAAATGTGCTCAAATTAAGGTAATTTTATTATTTTTCATAATTTTTTATGAAAATAATCATAACCCTCTGCGTGTGGTTTGAATGTTATCCCTGTGTCAGTGTAGGTTTACTACAGTTTCCCCCACTGCTAATGACATGTATGAGAGAAGTGGTGATGAAACCCTGCTTCCAAGATTGTGTGGAATGAGAGGAAAACTTATAACAAACTAAGTACAAAAATTGAGTCTGTAAAGCATTTGGAAAAAAGGCTAAAAGTCTCAATCTGCCATGTCCAAAGTTCTGCCTCTGAGTCAAATGTGGACTTCAGGTTCCTGTTTTGTGGCCCTCTGCCATGCTACGTAACCTAAAGGAGCAATTGAGCTAATTTTTGTATTCATTGATTATGATATATTTTGCTCATAAACACAAGTTCACTGTGTCATCCAGCTAACTTAAGCTCTGTCATTATTATTATTGGATCCAGTTGATTATGTTGTTTGACAAGACAAACATATCTTTGATCGTGGCGTGCAATTTTGTATATGACACTAACTAATGTAGATAGTGAGAAAGTCAAAATATATTATTCACTCAACTTCGGCAATTCCTTATTTCCTCATTTAAGAGGTCATGGTTTCAGTCTACACGTTTTTGGTTGATTTTGTTCAACAATGTAAAGCCAATTTATTAGTTTTTACATTTGTGTCTTGTTTTAAGCAACCATATAAACATTCATTCATCCAAAGTTTTGCAATCCAGGTTGTTCACCCCTTACTAATCAGACAAAACCATCCATCCATCCATCCATTTTCTTCCCTTTAATCCATTTCTGGGTCAGGGGGGTGGCAATCAGAGCTGCCACCCAAGTCTCATAGCACCAGCCCCTCACTGACCCTCTGCAGGTGGTGAGTCCACAGGAGGACAGCTGCTCTCTGAGTGAGAGCATAGCCTTGATCTTTCAGTGGGGGCTTTGGGCAAAGTGGGGTTAAGTGTCTTGCCCAAGGACACAACGACAGCAGTCATCAGTGGGAGTCGGTGGAGAAGGTGCAGAGGTGGGAATTGAACCTACGACCTTCTGGCCTTAAGGCCAATGCTCTACCAACTGAGCTACTGTCGCCCCATCAGACAAAACATAGGAATGATTTTAATTCTGCACAAAACAAAGCAATGTTGTTTACTGGACAACCTCACTTTTCATTTCAAGTTACACGTTTTGTGTGTCTGTGTACTTTAAATTCTGTATATAAAACAAAAAGCATTGAAGGAGAATAACACAATTTCATGCTTAAAAAGTTGAAGGAGTCTTGGGCAGTGGCGTAACC